TATTTGATTTATACCCCGCCTATCTGGACTACCAGTCCACTCTAGGCGGCTTACTGATACCAGATATGGGCAGTGGGGCTTCTATAGATGCCAGCCATAATTCTCATTCAAGAAGTATGGTGGTGCGGTATGGCATAGCTGGTTATGACCTGCAAAGTGTAGGACTGTACAGGTTCATGTAGGGACAGGCAGAGTGGATGGAAGAGAGAATCTAAAGATATTCTTGAAATAATATAAAGATATTAATTTTAAAAATATATTGTGCACTTAGAAGTCCCCTTCCTCTCCCACCCTCTGAAAATGATGCTTATCTGCTTTTTATTTCGCACATCAATAGTAGGCATAATCAAAAGTCTGGTATGAATTGATACACTGAATAATACAGGCAACAAAAGATGGATACATTGGATTGTTAATGTGTACAAGGTTAGAATTCAGTATATTTAGAGGATAGCTTCCTTAAATTGTAGAAGTTAAAATTGTTTTGTTTTTGTAGATTTCAAAAATAGGGACTGCTGTACACTTTTCCAAAATTTAAAGTTTCAGTGGTCAGAATGTTAAATCTCTGAACTGTACCTAAAGATTCCTCAACGAATGCATGGTCAGCTAGAGAAGCAACAGGATTTGATAGCAAAAATATTGTGCCAGTTTAATCTATCATCCATTAGAATATAATATATCCCCTAAATATTTACCTTTTTACTTCTCAAGTCAGAACTATAAAACTTTTGTAACGTAATTTTGCTATTTCACCTGCGTCTCCTTTTGACAGAATAATCAAAGTTTCTGATTAAAGGGATTTTTTAAACCTGTTGTATCCTATTTTTTCACTTCATATTAGGAGTCACCACAATTGAATCACACATACCCCAAAAGATAGTTTTGCTGCTGTTTCTTACTTCTGTATGTGTTATCCTGAATGACAGTGTTGTTGTCTACAAAACTCAAGGACTTGCTCTGTGTTGAAACTAACTTAATACAGGTCATACCTTTGGAAATGGAAGGAAGATTAGCCTGGAATGCCATTTTCACTGGGATGCCAAAGGATCATTCCACTTTCCAATAAATCCCCTCAAATCCTATTCATGAACCATCATGACCCCAAAAGCCAGAGAAATTCATTCAAGAGCACAAGCTGGCCTTTGGATAAGTAGAGCAGGCAGGTCAGCCTGGCTTTTAAAGCTAGCTCGGAAGTAGAAAGGCTTTTCCCCCCAGCCTTTTTCATACAGACATCACATTATGTGCTTTTTAAAAGGAGGGAACTGAGCTATACATTCTAGGTGAACTGCCTGTCACCAAAATACCTTTTTCTTTGTTGTACTCTAGCTAAGAGGTAGTGATTACTGAATAGCCAGAATTTTCCAGCACATTAAATTTTTGTGGGGTACAGTACAAAAGTAAAGCAGGCTTGCTTGCAGTCACAGAGCTTGAAAATTAATTTTCAAATTAATTAAAGTTAAAAGTTAGAAATTGGAAATTAATTTGTTGCTATTAACATCTGTTCACACACACACACACACACACACAGAGAGAGAGAGAGAGAGAGAGGCAGCATGTGATTCTACAGTCCATTCGCCAAAGGGCAGGAGGCCTACCCATCTCTTCCAAAACTAAATTTGTGCTGCTTAGTAGGGATATGATGAGTACTTGCAAAATCTTTCATTCCCAGCAATTCATGGAGTCTCACTATGTTATCACTCATTACCTAGAAGTCTTCCTGCCTCACTGACATTTCCTAATTTGCAGAAGGAAGAGACTCTGACTTTGTTTTCTCTTTCATTTTATTTTAGTTCATTTTTTGCCCACCTTCTGTGCCAGAGACTGTCAAATTCTGTGCAGTTTAATGCTCCTCCCAGTCAGTCCTACACAGGAAATATGCCATTCTGCACAGATACTTCAACAATCCTATGCAGCTTGGTTTTTCTCCCGCTACATATTTCCTGGGCAGCAAAGATGCCATTCTGTGCAGGACTTGTAACAGTTGTAACTTCTAGTCTGTCAGCGAAAACAGGGTCCCTTTTTCCTGTTGCAGAAGCCCAACTCTTGAACTTGCCAGAAAGAACTGAGTTGAAAATGCACCTGCTTAGCTGCCTTCTTTGTGCCACAAGAAGTTTTGTTTTTCCTTTTATATGTGCATTAATCACTTTTGCGTTGTTTTGTTCAAACTGGTCATTTTGCAGCCATTCGTAACATGGAAGGCTCAGTTGGGCTGTCCACAATAGGAAAGTCTGCCTTCTGCAGACCAGAGACACCTTTAAGAGAGGAGCTGCGCAATTCAGTCATAAACAGTGCCTTTGAACAGTGCCTTTGAACCACCCTCATAGCAAGAGCTCTGAGGAAAGAGCGGGAGCCATATAATCCAGAGTGGACAGCTTGCTCCTTACATAGAACTGGTTCTCAGCCTTGTAGCTCATGATGGTCTTACACTATAATTTCCAGATACTCTAAGAAAGGTGATAGTTTTTTAAGGAACTGTAACTAAATCTTCTGGGTATTATTTATAGGGTCAAGCTTGAACTACAACCCTTTCCTTTTTGAAAATGGGAGTGTGAAGTGTAATGTGCCCCCTGGAGAGGGAATGCGCAACAAACTATGTTACTTTTCATATTTTTTTCCTGGCACTGGTTTGAAAAAAAGCAACAGATTTATTGTTAACATGCTAGCTCTAATGTGTTATTTCCCCTTCTGGGTCCGTGCCATTTTCTAGATCTTGAACTGCAGACATAAATTGATATGCATCCAAAGATGGATATTACAGTAGTATTTCTCTCTGCATTGCATTGCTTTGAGTAGAATACCCTTCTGAATGTAAATGGAGAGGTACACCCCAAAACTCACACTGATTCGTGATTACTTTTTGTAATGTTCAAGAAAGACCTGACAAAAGTCAACTTTATATTCATCTTCTTTCTTTGTGTCTGTAAAGGACTGAATATGATTTGATTACTAAAAATGCCAAATAGATTGGCACATAAGAAATGCATAGTGCTTAAAAAGCTCATACCGATTCATGATATGGTCTCTATTTTTGCAGGACAGGGTATTCTGGACTGATTTAGAGAATGAGGCCATCTTCAGTGCCAATAGATTGAATGGCCAGGACATTGCCATTTTAGCTGAGAATCTCAATAATCCTCATGACATTGTAGTCTTTCATGAACTGAAGCAACCTAAAGGTAAGGCATGTCTTCAGTACGGGCCAAAGTTTGATCAGTATTCCATATTAACAACATTACATTTATTTCCACTATTTTGTTTGATAAAATTCATGACAAAAGACTAGCCCCAATCAGGCATTAATGAATGGATTGTCCTCAACGTGCTTAGAGGGAGAGAGCCTAGCTTTATCACATCTGTCATCACTTTCTTCGCATAATAACGGAGGTGTTTAATGGGAAGAAGTTTCTGCTCACATATAGACTACACAGGAGGAAGAACTTACATCTTAATGCAAGTAGGAACTCCTCTTCATACTTCTCTGTCCATGTGCAAAGAAAGTGACCACAGATGTGCACAGGGCAGGGACTCTTTTCCAAATATGTTGAAAAAGCTCAATTTGTCAACGCCTGAATAGGGTTTCTCTTGATGGCAAAGCTATGGATTTGTGTATATGATGTTGCCAACTGTTCCTCACATTACTTCCATTCCTCTCTGATGGGGGAGCCAGAGAAGCCAGCCTCAGTGTAGTATATGATGTTGCCAACTGTTCCTCACATTGTTTCGATTCCTCTCTGATGGAGGAGCCAGGGGCTGTGACTGAAGAGAGAAGCCAGCCTCAGTGTAAAGTGCCTCAGCTCTTATGGAGAAGAGGAAAGTACGTATCCCTAAAATGCTTACACAGGCCTCAGCTCTTATGGAGAAGAGGAAAGTATTCCTAAAACCCTTACACACCTCTGTAAATTGATATCACTCACACACTGAAAAGAGGTGATTAGCCATTCCATCCATTGAAACCACTACAGGGTGACAGCAATGACATTCAAGTTTTGAAAAAGTGTCAATGGCCTTGAGAAGCATCTTTTAGCACCCCCAAATCTGGAGAGCTTTTAAATGTTTTTTTAAAAAGAGGGTTGCAGAAATAAGCTCTTCAGATTGTTTTTGTATTATACTACTGCCCTCCGCTGTTTACAAAGTTTCTTCAGAAGCAGTGAAACAGATGCTATTAAAGCTGTTTTGCAGTGCCTTGCTGCTAATACCATTTCATCTGCAGTGAATCTCTGGAAATCATTTCAGCACTCAGACCATGTTGGCATGCTTCCTTGTACCTTGTGGTAGAATGCATGTAGTTTCCTATGAGGAAATAGTAATCTGTAAAAGAACGTTGGTTTGAAATGTGTTACATAAAAATATTTATGTGATGATGAACTGAACTCTGATGTGCATATGTTCTTTTATGCTGGGACCTGCCCCTCATTTTTCCCCTCCTCCATTTTGTATCTGAACACTGCTTTGGAATTAATTATGAAAAGCTATATAGAAATTCTTACAAAGAAAACGAATAAAAATATTCCCACCACTTTGCCAGGGAATATACACACTTTAAATTGTCCCTGAGCTGCAGGGCTCCTAGAAGTGAAGTCAAAAAGGCAGAGTGTCAAAAGATTTTTTTGGCCCTGAAGATTTGACAGGAATATTCAATTTACATCTTCTTTTTTTTTCTTCTTCTATATGTAGCTCCAGATGCTTGTGAACTCAGTTCTCTGCCAAATGGAGGCTGTGAATACCTGTGTCTTCCTGCACCCCAAATCTCTCCACATTCCCCGAAGTACACGTGCGCTTGTCCTGACACTATGTGGTTGGGTCCTGACATGAAAAAATGCAATAAAGGTAAAGACAACTGCTTTGACTCTAGAAATCATACCAGTAATTAGGATTAGGGCAAATTCACTCCTTCCTTCGATGGATAGCCAATTGTTGTTGTCTTTTGGAAGACTCTGAAGGAGCCTGTATGATTCACCATCTCTTAACAACATTATATGTATTTTTGCTTATGAAATCTAAGTTCATAAGATACTTATTTAAGAGGCACAGCTTAACACAGATGCGAGTGGGGAGCCAGAGGCAAATAGAAAGGAACAGGGTTGGGACAGGGGAAAGCAGTATTTATTGTTATATTGCCAGCATAACCAGCTGAACAAATATCTTTTGTTTTAAATATTTTGAATACATTTCAAAATGCAATAGAATTTAAATATAAATTAGATGATTGGGCGAAAACTGTACACAGTCTTTTAAGTTACAGAGAATTATGATGGCTATTCATTAGGTTTTTTTATTATCTTTTCTGGTTTAGATGATTTCCTATCTTCAGAAATAAAGGAAAGTGTCCTAATACTGTGAAACTGTGTAACTCTTGAGGTGACTATATATGTATGGATTATGTTTTCAGAGCTTCCAGCTACCTCAGCGAATGTGCCTATTACCACGACAGTTACTGCGACTTACTTGCCCAATCTTACCAATGTCGCTACTGCTGTTACATCTTCTGGTACAACTGCTGCTACCACCACCATTGTTACAAGTGACAGTACCAACAACACTAGTCCTGAAAGAGAGGAAACCACATCACATGTCTTCCTTGGCACGACAATGCTTCATTCACCCACAGCCACATCCAGTCTTGCCGAATCCAAGATAACGACAACAGGAAGCAATAATCTCTCCCAGCACTGTAAGCAAAATCGTTTCAAAATGTTTTGTTCTTCCTCTTTTTCAGAGGCTTATAATTTGGATAACTGGTCTGGTAATGGTACAGTACATTTGAATAGTCAGCAGCCATATTTGTGCAGAGTAACACAATCTTTAATGTAAACTCCCTCTGCTCAAAAATATAAATGCTCTCCCTTTTACATGAACTCTTCCTTTTACATGAACTCTTGTCTCCATAGAGGAAGGGCTGGTTTCAGCAGTTTCTTGAAGAGCCCTGTTTTCCAAATAGTGTTCAGTTTGTTTATATAACAGGGAGATCAAGCACCCTAATACTTTATAGGGTGATCCTGGACTCACAGATTAGTAGGTTAACACAGAATATCCCCAAACAGTTTTAACATAACTCCTTCAATCTCATTTCCTCAACTAGTTTGCCAGCAGTCATGTAATGCAGAACATTGTTCTCAGTTTACAGAGTGGAAATGGAAGCTAAGAGATAATGGGGGAGGCAGAAAGAAGAGCTACAAATAAAATAGTTTGTTTAAAGTCAATCAGAAAGTCCCTCGTGGAGCTCGTATTCCAGTTTGGCTCTCCCAGGATTCTCAAGGGCCTCCGCTTTACCAGCAGAGAGGTCTCTTCAGGTCTCAAACCAAACGGTGATGTTGTGTACCTATTGAAACATTCAGAGCTGCAATAGTTCTTATTGGAGATATATATATTTGGCAAGAAATTATCTTGTAATAACCGACCTGTATGCCATTTGGATCTTAAGTGTAGCAAAGATGGGGAATCTTTGGCCCTTCAGATTTACTTTGTTGTTGTTTACTTTGTTGTTGTTGTTGTTGTTGTTGTTGTTGTTGTTGTTGTTAGTAGTAGTAGTAGTAGTAGTAGTAGTAGTAGTAGTAGTAGTAGTAGTAGTAGTATTTTGCGATGACTTCCATAATTAATTCCAGTTGGTCATGTTGACAAGGGCTTCGAGGGGGGGGAAGGAAGCCCAGAACATCTGGAGGGCCAAAGGTTCCTCACTCCTGCTTTCCAGTTGGTCATGTTGACAAGGGCTTCGGGGGGGAGGAAGTCCAGAACATCTGGAGGGCCAAAGGTTCCCCATTCCTGCTTGAGGCACAAGAGTTTAGAGAGAAATGCTTTAGGAATCAGTGATTTCACAACTTTGTGATGATAGATCATACACTGAGGGAGAGACAGTCCTTAGGCTAAAGCCGGTTTTGAACCAGTGGAATGAACAACAGAATATCATTACACAAGAATTCCTCTGCCTCACAGAACCTTAAGAAACACAGATAGAACTGTTTCCCATTTCCAAGGTTCCCACAAGGAAAACCCCTTATAGATTTATCCTAATGCTGGAAATTAATGCACAAAGCAAATAAGGATGGCTTAGTCATGTTTTTTTTTCCCCAATCAAAAGTGTTTGCTAAAAGCACTGATCTATTTGTACATTTACATATACATGTTCTTCGTCTGAATCTGAACCTGGTTCTGTCTGGTTACAGATGCTAACAATGGGCAAGGTTTTGGATCAACCGTGATGGCAGCCATTATTGGAATTGTTGTTCCTGTAGGTAAGCATGTATATGACAGTTTATATAGACAGTTTTCCTGTTTGCTTTCGATCAGTGGTTCCCAACCTTGGATAACCGAAGTGTTATTCCCAGAAGCCTCACTGCCACCTGTGCTGGTTGAGTTTTCTGGGAAATGCAGTCCAAGAACACCTAGGTTACCCAAGGCTGGGAACCACTGCTTTCAATGCACAGAACCCATCTTGCATGCACAGCAGAGAACTCTGTGCGGAGCACCGGGGTCTCTCTGAGACAATTAGAAATGTTTATTCCTTTCTCTCCCCTTGTCTCTTTTTTAACAGTGGTGATTGGTTTGTTATGCATGGGAGGATACCTCATCTGGAGAAACTGGAAACGGAAAAACACAAAGAGCATGAACTTTGATAATCCTGTGTACAGGAAGACCACAGAAGAAGAAGATGAAGATGAAATACATATTGGGAGAACAGCACAGATTGGGCATGTGTACCCAGCAGTAAGCATCACATTCTGTCTTTCTGGCTGATCTTTCAGAATCGCATATAAGCAGATATTAAGTTCACAGACTCCCTTCCTCTCAATCAAAGGATTCTAGTGAATTTAGAATAATTAACTAATTCATCCTCACAATATGGAAACAAGAGGTAGGTGTCAAATACTGCACAGCCCACATCTACTCTGTGGCCATCTCTAGTAACTATATGGGCAGAATGTTAAAGCCTAGGTATAAGTGAAATATAAGGATCAGATGTGTGCTGTGTGATTGCATCCAGTCCCTGAAGTAAATGCAATGCAGTTTTGCCCTTCAGTTATAGTTCATTTCAAACTATTATATGGTGGGGGACAGTCTAGAAAGAATAGACTCTATCAAATATGAAAATATTTAGAGGCATTGTTGGTACAACTGAACAAGAGTTGAGCGCACAGAAGGAGGCTGAGAATCATATTTTCCCCATCAAAATGTTGTTTTACAATATTTATTAGTCTCTTATATTGAGTATTGGCATTGAAACCAGTGTCCTTCCTCTTTTCTGCAGAAAACTGACATAAATGAGGATTTCAGAATTAGATTCAGAATATTAAGACTTCATAAACCAGTTTAAATCCATTGCCTGTATGGGTTTGTTTAATGTCTTCAACCTAACTGAGAGGCAGACAAACAGATGTTTCGGACTGCTGTTTGCATAATCCCAGACCATAAGCCATGCTGGTTGCTTATGGCAATAGTAGTTCAAAGGATCTGGAGAACAACAGACTGTGTACTGTATCCTTATCTAATGTTAATAAGAGTGAAGACATATGCAATCAGCAACCGTACAGATATCTTTATGCTAAAGCAATGGTTAAACTGCATTACTGCAGCTAAGCCTCTGCTCACAACCTGAGTTTGATTCAGGGAGTTGGCTCAAGTGACTCAGCCTTCCTTCCTTCCAAGATCAGTAAAATGGGTATCCAGCTTATTGGAGGACAAAGTGTTGTTTTCCAAGATCAGTAAAATGGGTACCCAGCTTACTGGAGGACAAAGAGTTGTTTGCATGGTTAAATTGCAAACTGCCCAGAGAGTGCTTTAGCACTATGGCATGGTATATAGATTGAAACAAAAACAACAATCAAAAACAACTAGTTCTAAACATCTGCAGGAATACAAAAGATAGTAAGAGAAACAAATTATCCCCTTAGTAGGCTGCTCCATGGAATCACCTGGAGGGGCCTATTTATCCCTCTGTCTCTGAACTCTGACCTCAATTTTGATTGAAATGCTTCCACTCCAGAGTTTCAGCTTCCAAATTTTGACTTGCGCCATCACCACCACCACCACACACACATACAGTGTTGTAGTTGTTATTTTGGCTCTTGTTGTTAAAGTAAGACCTCTGTCTGCCTCCTAGAGTGGCGTACAAGCTAATGAAAGCAAGACAATTCTTGCCCTCAGGCTTATACACACCAGAACAGGAGGGACTGATACATTTCTCTCTTCTTTTTCAACAGCGTGTAGCATTAAGCCTGGAGGATGATGGGTTGCCATGAGAACTACTCCTAGCTCCAACTCCATAGCCGGTGGATTGATAGATATGCACTGAACACATCTGCTGTGGATCATGGAACCTACTGTCTTTTATCTCCTTCTCTTCTCCCCACTTCTTTAATTATTATTTATGTTGCAGAGAGGTAACCACAAAGTTGTAATGAACTGCAAACATCCAAAGGATGTGAGAGTTTTTGTATGTATAATCTTTTATACACCTTTTTAACTTCTTGCACTATCCATCAGTCATAGTGAGGAGGCTGCTCTATTACTGAGCTACTAACTCGGTGTATACAACCAGCCAGACCCAACCAAGGGTCAGTAGCTTACTTGTCATTTTTAAAAACTATATTTATAGAGGTTTTGTAAATATGTCAAGCATACTTTGTGGCTATCCGTCAACATAAAAAAGTCTATACAAACAGTTTAGGATATTTATTAACAAGCTCTGGATATAAGATTTGTTCTGTACATACACTTAGAGAATGAGAGTATTTATTTTTTTGTATGTTTGGCTCGCTGTGTATAGATTATCTGTGTATATATCTATCAATGCTAGATAGGTATATAGACATTGACCTATATATATACCTACATATATAAATATATATATATATATATATATATAAATTTAAATAAATATAAATATATTTTATAAAGACTAGCCCAGCTATTTGGGAAATAGGGTAATTGAATTCTTAAGGGATGCTTTAGAGACAACTTGCTTTGAAGATTAAAACCAGTGAATTAAGAATGACAGGTGTTAGAATAAGATAGTCTATGACTGTCAAAAAGAACAAAATGCTCCCTTGATGATTAACAAAGAAACTTAACGACCAGCTCAGACAGTTGCATAGGGTTGCCCCACTCCAGCAAAATCTTTGCGGACACAAAACTTTATTCAGAATGCAACTCCCAGGATCTCCTCAGGCAGCAGACATTGCAGTTTGGCAGATCATGGGAGCTGCACGCTGCAAAAAAGTAGCTCTTCTAAACTCTGCATAAGGAGACATGTAGAGGGTGACTGGAAAAGCCTGGGACCTCAGTGCAAACTTTACCCTCATGACATTTCTATATACGAAGTAGCAAGAGGATATGCTTGAACACATTTTCCAGGATGGTAGTCCTGTTAAGCTCAGTGTGACTTACTTTGCAGTAAGAAGGTTTTGGACTGAACTTTTATCTCATTTTTGCAGTTTCAAGAATCTATGACTAGGTCTCCTCCTTTTTGCTTAGAGAGGAAGAATTTGAAAAGTACAGTTTACTTTTTCCTTGAGCAAGTCAAGTGGTGATAACTAAGAGCTGTTTTCCACAATAATGCTAGCTGTGCAGAGCTGTCCTAGCCATATTTGTGCAGAAATAAGTCCCATTTGCTAGTTGAGGAGTTGTTCAGACCCGCACCTGTCCTGCTATTTGCTTCGCTGGAGGGACGGGGAGGTTGGTTTGCCCTTTTCTTTCTGGCGAGCAGATAACCTGATCACTAGAATGAACCAATCCGTCTCCAGAGCACCCCCTACCTGCACCTTTTTGAGCACCTGTCAAGGGCTACTACTTTTTTTGGCATGGGTAGGTGCACCAGCTTGCACAATAGCTGGAAACAAATCAAAATCAAGGCTTGGCAGCTGTCAAAGCTACCAAAGCTCCTTCCACTGTCAATTTCCAGTATCATAAAATGTCTTTAATAAGTACACCGCTTCAGAATACTGGCAAATGGAACACTTCCCCTGCTCCTGTGTGAAGAGGTGGGGAAAATGACATTATTATAATTTTTTGCCTCTTATGACTGATGCACTGAATCATTTAGATTATATATTTTTTAAAAAAATTCTTTGCTTTTGTGTGAAGGCAAACAAAAAATACATTTTTATTTAATCTAATTCATTCGGCACATCAGCAATGCCCCACACAGTGTGTGATTAGCTGGCTGGGTAACTCAGTGGTTTAGGTATCTGGCTGTGGAGCCAGAGCTTGGGAATTTAATTCTCCACTCTGCTTCCCCAGAAAAGAGCCAGATCTGGGTTCAAATCCTCACTCAGGCATGGAAACTCACTGGGGAGGGGCAATGGTAAAACCACTCCTTAAATATTTCATATACTTTAGAAATCTATGGGGATGCCGTAAGTTGCATTCAGCTAAATCCTCTTTTTTTTAAAAAAAGGGGGGGAAAGATCCTTTTCCCAAATAAGCATGGAAAAGCAATACAGTATTTCAGCATTTCTGCAGGGCTCTAGTGCAGCTTTTGGCCAGCTTATGGATGATCAAGTTTGGCTGACAAAAGGCTCCTTTGGGGACACTCGACTTCTAGATACCTATTGATCAATTGTTTTGAATCGGTTACGCAAAAACAGCCTAAGAACATCAAGGACAAAAGTGATAGTGGTGACAGAAGTGACCAATCTAGTATTTTTCTGTGACAATTTTTGTAGCTTAGGAATGTTAAAACAAATGTGCTCGTCAGCAGGGTGAGCAGCCATGGACAGCCTGGGGCTCACATCTGCCTCTTTTCTAAAACAGGGATGTGTTCAGAAAATCACTTCTAGTTTTAGAGAAGGGGAGAATAGCATTGAAGCAGACAGTCATATCCCCTGGAGACTTTTGAGGATGCATTCATCTAATTAATTTTCTCTGATGCAGAACTTAAATGACCCCGAAGGCTGCTCTTGGAGGCTAAGGTGGGCTACACACTTCCCCCTTCAGCTCTTAAGGGCATGTTACCATGAGCACAACTTGCCTTGCTGTTCCCCTCACCCCCACGTTAATGAGGACTTTGTTGTCGTGGAGGCTAAGGTGGGCTACACACTTCCCCTTCAGCTCTTAAGGGCATGTTACCACGAGCACAACTTGCCTTGCTGAGGATTTTGTTGTCTTGATACTACTACACTTCCCAAACAGCTTGGCAGAAAGGGAAAAATACTTTTAACAGTGCAGTCCTGTGTGCACAGTTCACTCTGAAGTAAGTCTATAACCTGTAAATCCCTTCTCATAGAATCACAGAGTTGGAAGAGACCCCCAGGGGACATCGAATCTAACCCCCTGCCATGCAGGAACTCAATCAAAGCACTCCCGACAGATGGCCATCCAACCTCTGCTTAAAAACCTCCAAAGAAGGAGACTCCACCACACTCCAAGGCAGCATATTCCACTGTCGACCAGCTCTGACTGTCAGGAAGTTCTTCCTGAGATTCAGGTGGAATCTCTTTTCCTGTAGTTTGAAACCCTTTCTCCTAGTCCTACTTAGTGTCTGCAGCTGTGGAAAACAAACCTGTCACTTCCTCGACATGACATCCCTCCAGATATCTAAACATGGCTATCATGTCCCCTCTTAACCACCTTTTTGTAAGGCTAAACTTTCCCAGCTCCCTAATCCGCTCCTTATAGGACATGGTTTCCAGACTTTAGACCAATTTGGTTGCCCTCTTCTGGACATGTTCCAGGTTGTCAACATCCTTCTTGAATTGAGGTGCCCAAAACTGGACACAATACTCCAGGTGACGTCTGACCAAAGCAGTATAGAGTGATACTCACACTTCCTTTGATATAGACACTATACTCCTACTGATGCAACCAAGAATTACATTGGCTTTCTTGGCAGCCGCATCACACTGCTGACTCATGTTCAGTTTGTGGTCTACCAAGACTCCTAGATCCCTTTCACAGGTACTGTTGTCTAGCAAGGTGTCTTCCAGGTGTCAGTTCATTTTTTCTGCCTAGGTGTAGGACCTTACATTTCTCCCTGTTGAAATTCATTTTGTTAGTTTTGGCCCAGGACTCTAATCTGTCAAGGTCATTTTGAATTTTAATCTTGTCCTCTGGGGAATTAGCAACCTCTCCCAAATTGGTATAATCTGCAAATTTAATCAGCATACTCTCTATTCCTTCATCCAAGTCATAGATAAAGATGTTGAATAGCCCAGGGCCCAGAACAAAACCCTGAGATCCCCCACTAGTTAACTCTCTCCTGGATGAAGAGAAGCCATTGGTGAGCACCCTTTGGGTTCGGTGAGTCAACCAATTAGAAATCCACCGAACAGTAGCACTGTCTAGCCCACATTTTACTAGCTTCCTTGCAAGACTATCATGGGGAACTTTGTCAATGTACTGAAATCAAGATATGCTACATCCACAGTGTTCCTTTCATCTATCAAGCCTGTAACTCTATCAAAAAAAGAGATCAGATTAGTCTGGCATGACTTGTTTTTGAGAAACCCGTCTTGACTTTTAGTGATGACAGCACTACTTTCTGAGTAATAACAAACTGTCTGCTTAATGATCTGCTCTACAATTTTTCCAGGAATTGATGTCAGGCTGTCTGGGCAATAATTATTTGGGTCTTCTTTTTCCCCCTCTTTGAAGATGGGGATAACATTTGCCCTCCTCCAGTCTGTGGGGGGTCTTCTCCTGTACTTCAAGAATTCTCTAATTATTGCCAGTGCTTCTTGAGAAACCCGTCCCTGGGCATTTAATATCCTTGGATGTAATTCATCTGGCCCCGGAGATTTGAATCCATTTAGAGTAGCCAGGTATTCCTGTACTACTTCTCTACCTATTCTGTGCTGCATTTCCCCCACTACATCACCTGCTCTTCACCCCTAAGATTGAGCACTATTTTCCTTTTGGGAGAAAACTGAGGCAAAGAAGGTGTTGAGAAGTTCAGCCTTTTCCTCTGTTAGTAGTTGGCCCAAGCAGTGACCCTATCATTTCCTTGTTTCTCCTTTTGCTGTGGGCATAACTAAAAAAAGCCCTTTTTATTGTTTTTAATCTGTCTGGCAAGCCTGAATTCATTCTGCACTTTTGCTTCTCTTACCTTCCCCCTACATATACTGGCTATTTGCTTGTATTCCTCTTTGGTGCTTTCCCCGTTTTTCCATTTCTTGTACATTGTTTTTTAACAGTTAGCTCAGTTGAAAGTTCTTTAGTCAATCATTCTGGTTTCTTTAGACATCTCCCTTATTCGCACTAAGTTATTATATACCTAAGTGCAGATAGGATTACAGCCCAAGATGTAATGGTGAGGTTCTTATATAGCATAGGCTCTTCAAGAAGAGAAATGATTCTTTTCCCTGCTATCGGGCTGACAGTGGGAGGAAGGGTTAGTTAATGAATTAATCAGTTTACATAAGTCCCAAGAATTAGCTGCTTCAATAGTTTTCAAAATGTATTCCAGGAATTCCTGGGGTTTATCAGGAGCTTTTCATTAAAGGCAAGACTTTCTAAGAAACCACTTATCCCCCAGCTGACCATTAGTAGGTGCTGGGGTGGTTGGAAAAATAAAATATTACACAGTGTAACTTTTCTGTACTCTGGTTATAGGGTCCTTTTTCAGCAAATGTGGAGCAATGGAGCAGATTCCAGAGGACTCATGATCTGAATGTGCATTCTGAAGTATGTCCCCCAAATTCCCTTGCAGTAGAAAGAAAATTTCTCAACAAACAGATATAAAACAGTCCCTGATGGTAGGAAATTAGAGAACTATTCAGCAAGTAGGTACAGTACATGTTATGTACTCTCCCATAGAAACCTCACCAGGGTTTGCCCTAAGTCAGACACTTTTATATCTTAAATCAACCCGTCTTTTGTATGGCACCAATCATCTATTAATATTTTCTG